ATTATTCTTTTTAAGTGAGTGAAATGGTGTAGAAAGTGAGCGCACCTCCTTCAGTTTAATCCCTAAATGTTGATACAAACGCTAGCAAACGTCTGTCACCTGAGTTTCTGTCCCCAAAACGTTTATTTTATGTTTTTGTTGCACAACGACTTTGAGAAAATGGTCCTGGTGAAATTCTCTGCGACTGCAGGGCTCCCACACTTTTCAGCCTGTGACCGCCAAAATAAGAGCGCCAGAGACTTGCATGATAATTTTATTTAATTATACCTTCTTGTTTGTCTGATTCAGTTAGTTTTAAATAATTGTGTTTGCTATTTTTTATTAAATATAATTTAGTTATTATTAGATATAGTTGTAGTTAGTTTAGTTAGTTAGTTTTATACCTGTAGTTTTTAGTTTTTTCATACTTTTACGGATTTACGGCGCAGTTTTCAGACAACTAAGGTGAACTTAAAAATAAATATCGCACCAGTTCAAAAGGCTAATAAATAAACACAAAAAGGAAGGATGTCATATCTGTAATTTCATTATGTTTTAGTTAGTTTCATAAACACACAATATAGTTATAGTTAGCGTTCCCCTTAAATTGCTGTTTTTATTTCGGTTAACAAAAATGTTTTGTCAATTTCAGTTTTTGTTGTTTTGTTAGTTTTAGTTAATTGTAATAACCTCAAATACAACCCTCTGAAAAGCATTATTTCTCTAGATTTATTTAATTTGATTTATAAAGTGCCAGTTCCCAACAAACGTCTAAAAGCTCTTAACAAAAACTACATTTAATGACACATTAAATTGAAACACATTCTATTCTTTTCCATTCTGAAAAATGTTAAACCTATATGTACATTATTTATTTCATGATGATGTAATTATTTAGCCCTACATGCATGTTAGGAGCTACATTATTATAATTCTAAAAATAACAGTGACCCTCTCAATTTGTGTCTTGCGACCCTTTCAGGCCCACGACCCGCACTTTGAGAACCCCTCCAGTACTGGACGCTTCCTTTTGACTTTTTTTTTTTTTTACACTTTAGTGCTAAATTTCTTTCACCTCTGAGGCTTTGAAGGCAGAAGTCCAAGGAACAGACGTATTAAAGCAAACTAAACCCAAATTAGTTGAACCTTTAATGAATCAAAGCAACTGAATTCTGTTTTGTTTGGATTTCAACCCTCAGGAATCTAAAAAGTAAAAAAACAAAACACTTTCATCCCCAGATCTGTCAGTATAGATTGTGACAGTAGTATGTTATCGATGGAGAACATCACATGGGGCTGACGTGGTGTGCAGCAAAAGGATGGCGCAGGGGTAGGCGGTAGTGGTGGACAGTGATTGGTTGATTTGGTTGGTCAGGTGACTGAAGGGGGTTATGGACAGTCGAGTTGAGTCAGATCACATGATGAGGGTTTGCAGCTATAACGTCAGGCGGTTCCATCAGGGAGCATGGAAGCCTGACAGGTTTTAGCTTTTTGGTGGACACTGGACAGAAACACCCACCCCGAGCCCCACCCTCACACCCACACACTCACACCCACACACACACACACACACACACACAGGCACGCACACCCAAACATGCATGCATCCAAAGGAAAGTTAGAAGCAACTCATGCACGCTCACTTGAGTGAAGTCAGCTTTGCTCACCTTCTTCAAATCAGATGAAATTGGTGTCAAATTTTGTGCTGCAAATTTTTTCGTTTGTGCCGCTGTCATTTTAAATATGTGAATGTTTCAGGTCATCAAAGGTCAACCAGCCTCTCCACATTTACAAAATCAAATAAAGTCTGATGTTAACTATGCTGCATTTGTGCAGCACAAATTTTTGTTTTAAAAGCAGCATAAACTTGAGGGCAAGTTTTAAACCAATTAATGATTAGTTCACAATTATAAAATCTAATTAAAATGAATAAATTCTACATTTGTGCAGCACAAATTAAATTTTGTGTTGCTGTCATTTTAAATGTATTCATAAATGTTTCCAGAGGTCACAACAGGTAAACAAGCCCGTCCATATTTATGAAATCAAACAAATTATGGTGTTGATCAACTGCGCCCTGGTTGCGCAACATACATTTTTATTTGTGATGCTAATTATCAGAAATTTTGTATTTAAAACATGGTATTCATATGCCTATTCAATTTATTGTACTAAAAATACCAACAAATAACATACAAAACAAAAAGCTAACATTTCACGACCTCCCGCTTGGCATCTCGCGTCCCTCCTCAGGTCCCCGACCCACACTTTGAGAACCCTTGCTTTACTGGAAGCTTCCTTTTAACTTTTCTTATTCTTTAATGGCAAATTTCCTTGTCAGGACAGGACGAGGACTGTGCTATCAACATTTTAGTTGAACAAATGTAGCACAATCAATTTTGTTTGGTTTTGATTTTTTTTTTATCTTAATTTTAATGGCACAAACAAAATTGTGCTGCACAAATGTAGCAAAGTTGATTGACACCATATTTCATTAAATCTGGATTGGCTGGTTGACCTTTGATGGCCTTTGGAAACATTAACATTAAAAAAAGCGACAAACAAAAATTGTGCTGCACAAACGCAGCACATAAATTGTGTAGCACAATATAGTGACTGTTTAACTTCATAAATGTGGATTAGCTGGCTGACTGGAAACATTTATTAAAATCTTTAAAGCAAAAGCGACACAAATGAAAGTCGTTGCAGCACAAACATCCGACACGGATTGGGTTTCATTTGAGGAAAGTGGGCGGAGCCGACGTCCCTCGGGTCAGCGTGAACGTCTTTAGCTCACACCAGCTAGCACTCGGTCCCACCCCGGACTTGCGATGTGTTACTGTGATGATGCAGAGTGTGGTGGAAGGTGAAGAATAAGACAACGGAAGACAGGTGATGCTAAAATGAACATTTATAATGACTGCTGTTGCTGTCGCAAAATAAGAATCCTTAAAAAAAGACCTCATATATATTAGCACTAGATTGCCCACTTCACTGGTAATCCACAAGTCAAGAAACACAACTCACTAGGTTTTTTTTTCGCTTTACAAACACAATGCTACAATTACATTAAATATTCAATAATCTTTAAGTCAGTTAATGAATGTTGTTAAAAGCAACCACTAAGATACTAAAAAATAAAAACAAAACAATAGTATTAATTCACCTTTTTTTTCCAGTCATTCCCTTTTTCTTGTTGCGACGTTATTTATTAATAGTATATCAATAATAGTCTGAGAAATAAATAGCTCATGTGGTGTTGTCAGGGCGATGGGGCAGGCAGCATAAATCAAGAGTGGAGCTGAGAGCAATGCAATGAAATGGCGGGAGTCGAATTTATTTCCAGAAAAAAATGCAACATGGAGATATGATCCGACTTTTTCTTCTAATTGTTTTTTTTTCCCCACTAATGTCGGTGTTTTTATTTTCTTGCAATGATGATATATGTGGCTAACGCTAATAAAAACACACTAACGCCACTACAACTCACTGGTAGGAAACACGTCAACAAATGCACATCGAGAATGGCGTTTAGCTAGCCGTCGAGGTTAGGTTGCTATCTGACGCTAACAGGGAAGCTAACAGTGCACACAGGAGGTAAATCAACACTAATAACAACGGCACAGGGCAACACTAGCAGAGCCGATTAAAGATTACACTACAGGAGTTCAGGAGTTTCTCTCTTTATGCTGCCGGCCCCTTTCTGCTTAACACGTTCTCTCTTTACAGCTTGGCAAAAAACTCTGACAAAAATATTTACAATGAGAGAGAGAGAGAGAAAAAACGTGGAGAAACAGTTGCTTTTTATGCGTTTTTGTTCTTTAAGGATCTTTTTCTTACTTTCATTTTTTTTTTGTTTTTTTGACTTGTATCTCAGAGAAATGTCCCCAATGATGAGCAACAAACAAACAAACAAAATAATAATAATCCAATCATATCAGCTAGCATTGCACAGTCTCAAGAGAGGTTTTGGGGATGGAATGGAGAGTTATCGTCCAAACAGTTGGATGAACAGAGAAGTGGGGAAGGAAGGTCAAAGTTCATGAGGAAGGGGGGGGAGGAGGAGGGGGTGGGGTGAAAGTTCAAAAATAGTTCGAGAAGACAGAGGATGGGCTGCGCAGCTGACGGTGCCTAAACACTCCCCCACACACACACCACGGTGCGTGCGTCGGCGTGATTTGGATGTTAAACGACAAACAGAAACAACAACAACAAAAAAAAAAAATCATCATTAGAAAAAAACAAAATGGAGATTTAAAAAAAAAAAGTCTTTCCCCATTGAGAAAAAAATCAAATGGAGCGAGAGCAATCACAGAGAAAGGAAGGAAGAAGGAGGGAAAAGGAGAAAATGGCACACAATCAAAATGGAGTCCAACAGGCTGAAGAAATGACAGAATTAGGAGGATAAAAAAGAAAAGGAAAAGCAGCTGCATGAGCGGTAGTAGCGCTGTTTCTGTTTGGTTTTTGGAGTAGGAAGGTAGCCGACCTGCAGAGGGGTTATTCCTGGCCGGGTTTAGCTCTGTGGAGGGTGGAGGGTGGGGGAGGTGAGGAAGAGGAGGAGACAGGTGGTGGTAGGTGGGGCAAAAGGTGCTGTTCAGTTGAGGCGTCATGAGCGACATCATGTTATGAGGGGCGGAGCATGCTGGCTTCATGGGTGCTTCCAAGATGGATGTCCAAGACAATACAACTCAAAAAACGCTTGGAATGGTAGTAGTAGTAGGAGGAGTAGTAGTAGTAGTCACTGTTTGTTTTTGTTTTTTTTTTGTTTGTTTTCCTCTCTTTTTTCTATTTTGGCACTCGAGAGAAGAGATTCGTGGGAGGCGGCGGAGGAGAAGAAAAGTGAGAGTGTATGTTTGGACGAAGAGGAGGAGGAGGAAGGAGTGGGCAGTGAAAGTGCACAAAAAGGAGAGCATGGAGTGTGTTTTGTTTGTGTTTATGTGTGTATGTTTGGAAAAACAAAAGGGTAAACAAGCTACAGACAGAAAATGGCATTCTTTTTTTCTCTTTTTTTGTTAAAACAGATTTGGGTTAGAGCATACAGTACAAACCAAAAACCAGGAAGGTAAAGAGATCAACAGAAGAAGAAGAAACAGAAAAACAGTGACGTGACAAATGCAGTCTACAGTTGCTGCTGGTGTTTCAATGGGGACCAAGTTTCCTGTAACACACCGTGGAAAGCAGGTTTCTAGAGGTAGGTGGAGTGAAAAGGGCAAAAAAAAATAAAAATAAAAATCAGAACAACTTATGACCTTTTGAGCAGGTTAGGGGTTAAACTCACTACACATTTGGGAAATTATGATTCATCGGCTTTTAACAGAGACGGACGTGAGGAGCATGCACATCTAAACACACAAAACACGGATTAATGCTAAACATCTACAGTTGTCTGACGCTCAGCTCGGCCTGCCATGCAGTGTCAGCAGAGTTTAGTGCAAACATTTAAAACCTCATGGCAATACTTTCTGACGGGACGGTAAGACGGCCATGCTGAAGTCAATAAAGGGAACACAGGAGGTGCCGGGATCCGAAATACTTGTTTTATCTGGAGGTCAGAAAGGCGTTTACCAGAGATGCACCGATCTCAGCCGATACCGATCACATCTGGTTCCCTTTTGTTAAGGACTGAAAACCCAAGAAAAAAAACCCAAAACCTGCTGCTGGTTTTCCTGAAGGAGGATGAAACCATAAAAATTGATTTTTAAAATGTTGTAATACTGTTGTAATTACAAGAAGACAAACTGGCTGAAAAACAAATATAAGTTGATATCAACAATTGTTGATTAGTTTCTTGTTCCAACTATCTGAAATACTGCCAGACTGTTTGCTTAATAACTGTTCCTGTTTTCCAGTTTATTTTCAAACTAGTTTAAACTGTCAGTTACCCAGCAGGCTGTTACCTAGCTCAGCTAGCCATGACGGCTTTAGCGGCTAGCGTGTTTCCTTTGTCTCCCAGAATGCTTTGCGGTTCTGCATCAGAGTTTAAAACATATTGAGCGTTTTATCAGACATATTTCCTGTTGATTTTGATCACCTATCATGATATTTTCTGTTATTCTAGTAAAATGTCAGAGTTGCATCGTTAGCTTAGCATTGTTTACAAAAAAGAGATTCTGCTGAACAGAAATATTTCTGCAGCACAAAACCCTGGAGAGTCACAGCGTGAAAACTGTTGTATTACGCTATAACAAGATCATTGATAATAAAGTGTAATAATCTGTGCAATATATCATTGTCTAGGTCTAAGTATATAAAAAACACTAAATAAATACTGTAAGACCCCTGAAGCTATATTTAAATGTCATTTAAATGTTTTCAGCAGAAAGAAATTTTACTTCACTGTTTCAATTTATTAAATAAGAGGGAAAGAAAATCGTCCAGATCGGTGCATCCCAAAACAGCGACGCATGAAACGGTCCTGGATTCCTCCTGCATAACTAACTGCACAAACTGATGAAATAATGCCAAGATATGCCAGAAATCGAGGGTCAGAGGGAATAAAAAGACTCCAGACATACTGCGTCAACATGTTAGTAATGTTATAGTACGAAACCACACAGAAAAACACATGAAAGCTCCTGCAGCAGTTGTGAGAAAAGCGAAACTCATGAAATGATAACATTCGTGGACAATCTCGGTCTAGATCTGTAGCTAAATCCTAAGAAATATAGAGATTTTAAACATTTTTATGTGCATTTCAATATTTTTAATCCAAGCTCGCTCAGGATGTATGAAAAGAAAGTTTGTTCAAAAGCTTTGTTCAAATCCCTCACAAGGACGTTAATTTAAACTCTAAAAAAGTCCTCTTCCTGTTGTAGCAAACATGAGGCGGCCATGTTTGTTTTAAAGCAGCTGCATGGAATAACAACAGTTTGAACGTAAAACAATATCAAAATGCTCTACCCTTATCGACATGCAGAGATTTGTTTCAGTAAATCAACAACACACACTGCCTATTTTTTATTTGTTTTTCTTTTTTTTTTTGTCTTTTTTTGTCCACACTTCACTTTGATATCATGCAATATAGACGTGCAAAAAAGATAACATCTATTTCCACAAAATACATTTTATTTATTTTTTTCTTGTTGTAGCTATAAAAGGTTGTATTTAAGAATGCTATCTTAGTCACATTTTCTTTAGCATGACGATGCTAAGCTATCGCTATGTTGATCAGTCTAGCCCCAGAGTTGTAGTAGTGCTGTTGCATTCTGGGAGGTTGAGTTCCCAGAGGGTGGCCTAACACTAAGATGGCGGTTCCTTCTTTAGCAGGAAGGACAAAAAAAAATGAAAGTTACAGTGAGGTGCTTCGTCTTTTAGCCTAGCTAGTTCTTAAAAACAGATATGGGAACTTCACCCTTACTATAAATAAGTTTCATTTGGCACTTTTCACATTTTCTTAATATAAAACGAGGTCTCTTATTATTACCTAATGTTTTTGAATTAACACGTTTTAGCTCCTTCAAGACATGTTTGGCACAAAATTTACTTATTGTCAGCATCTAATATTTATTTTTACACCGTCGCTTCAAACTCGCTGCTCCAGCTGAAGGACAGGCTCCGATATGTTTTCTTCTTCGTACATCAATTATTAAATAGCAGCATTTCCACAATTTTAAAAAAGAAAAAGATGTACTTCTGTAAACCTATCCAACATCTACGGTTTAACGCTCCTATGCGGCAGACAGAGGATAAAAGACGGGACAACACGACAATATGCCGGCGCGAGTATTGCTTCCTGTACTTGTCACATTTTTATTTCAGTCGCCTAACGTTGAGAAAACTTAAAAATTATTTTAAGGTTTAATCAGTGAGATGAAATATAAATCCTCTCTTCATTAATAATAATAACAATCTAAACACGTCTCCCGCTAAAAGATGCTGCACTCCATGCATTTTTTCTGCATATTGCACATTCAGTCTATAAATCTATTCATAAACTGTTTTAAATCACAAATTCCAGTGAGTTTGACATTGTTTTTAATGTTAAATTCTGATTATTTTGCGTATGAAACGCATGCAGCACAGTATCAGTTCACTGAAGAACAGGAGCAAAATCTACCAATGAAATCCAGTCCAACCCGAGTCAAGACTCCCTGGTGGTGATATGTGTTTGTGCACGACGGCGTGTTGGGCCAAAATGGACCGAAGAGCAAGAAAAGGAGGACTGGAGTTCTGACAAAACGCTCAGAAAGTTTCTAGAAAAAATAAGAACATTTATGAGTCTGAAAAGTAAAATAATTCAAGCGTAAGCTCAGAAATTTTCTCAATGAAAAAATGTGGAAACTTCTGACTGAGAAATCAAAAAAAAATTTCTAGAAAACCCCCCCAGAAATATTTTATATATATATATATAAAAAAAATCTCTGATGAAGCTGGAAATTTCTGAGATTTTCCAAACAAATTTCTGACTTTTGGAGCTCAAGCTGATCGAAATGAGAAAACAAAAAATTCTAGAAAATTTCTTAGATTCATCTCAAAATTTTAAGAAATTTACACCTTAGACTAAAATATATTTTTCTGGCAAAATTGTAACTTTTCAAACTCAGAAGCTTCTGTGTATTTCTATTTTTTTTTTTTTTTAGATTAACCTCACTTAGTTTTTTAAACCTTTTTTCTGAAACATTTCTGAGATTTTCACACAAATGTTAAACTTTTCAAACTCAAAAACTCCCTTATTTTTTCTAGAACATTCCTGAAATCAGTCCCAAATGTGTTTTGTCTGAAATCCGTCCCGTTTTCTCGTCCACATGGCCTCCGACACGCCGCCGCGGTTTGTGCAAATGGGCCTCCGGCTGACGAGCCGCTGCTCTGAGCTGCGCCAGTGTTTCCTCCTGCAGCTCTCCCTCCGTAGGCGTGGCTCTCTGCAGACTCAATCTGAGGCGTTTGCTGGGGCAAGCAGCAGACATGCATCGATCGGGGCAAACAGCAGACATAGTCACCCATGGAGCGATGTGTTAGGAGGAGAAGGGTGTCAGAATGGGAGTGCACTGGGAAAGAGGAGGTGAGCAGAGTGTGGATGGAGTTAGATGGGAGTAAAGAAGCCTCCTTACCAAGTTGTGGAGATTAAACCCTCACTGGCGCTCCAACTGAGAACGACACGTTCGCTAGCAAGTCTGATCTGGGCTCAGATTGTTGTTTTAGATTAGTGAAAGAAAAAACAAAACACACCCCTCCTTAGTTTTAGCGTTTGGACTTTAAAACTCAGAGGTGCGTTGAAGAACTGGTTTGATTTGATCCGGTTTCCGACCCGGTCTCTCCCTCAGGACTCAGATATGACGACTTCTTCAGATGTTTCAGATACGTGGATTTTTTTGTTTCGTTTCCCTGCCAGTCATGATGCCGTCTGCAGCATCCCTGACCCCCAGCAGGTCGGGAGAGCGGCTCTCTAGCTTCACAGTGCATTAAGACAAAATAAGAAAAATAATAAGAATAATTCAGTGTACTCCGATTTGCTTAAAAAAAAAACACAACACAAAATATATTCAACACAATAAACAACATCTTCAGCAGCCTACAGCGGGCAGTAAACGATCGGGAGCTCCGCTCCCCGGGTGCGTGTTGGACATCTGCCCTTTGACCTCGTGGCAGTCGGACAGGCGAGTTATTCTCCTTTCACTGATATGCATGCTGCCTTTTGAAGAACAAAATCTGCGCGCAGATTTAGCGGTGGCCCCCAGACGAACGACGTTTCAGTGTTTTTAGTTAGTTTTAGTTTCCGCCCGACCCGACAGCCGTGTCTCCTCAGTAGTCAGTCCTAAGTGCTCTGGCCGGATCCAGTTAAACTGAAACAGGGGAGGCGGGTTTGGAAGACCACAGGCCGAGATCGGGTCTCAGGGCAACGGCTCGTCTAAACAACGCAGTTTCAGCTACAGGATAAACCACAGCGCCAATAAGCCCCCTGCTGGATTAGAAATAAAACTGCAGGCTGCGCCAGAAAGCGCCAGGTGTTTCCTTCAGCGAGCGAACGTGTGTGTGGAAATTTGGCAGGAAAACTTGAAAGTTTTGAGCTTAATCTGAAAAATCAAAAAATTTGGTAACAAAACTTGAATTTTAAGACTTGAAGATTTCTAGAAAAATCTTGTGAATTTCTGAGTTTCAGAAGTCAAAACTTTTCAACTTTTGACTTCTTGAAATGTTTCCAAAAGTCAAGATTTCCATCTTTTCTAACTCAGAAGTGTCCAGATTTTCTTCCTCAAAATTTCTGGAATTTTTTTAGAAAATATTCAACTTATTTTTGGATTGTGTATTCAACATATTTTTTTCCAGCAATTTTCTCAGATTAAGCTTCAAATTTTCAAAATTTGAAAATTTGATGTTAAATTTTTTAGAAAAATCTTGAAATTTGTAAAGATTCTAAAGTCTGAAAGTTTTGATGTCCGTAACTCAGAAATTTCCTTGCTTTTTTTTCTTTAAAAAAATCTGAGATTAATCTTTAGATTTCTCAGATAAATCTCAAAATTTTTGAGATCTCAGAAATTTTCTAGAAAAAAAAATTAAATTTGAGTTTGAGTAAATTTTTTTCCTTTGACGCTTTAAAATGATAAAATTTCAAAAAGTCAAAAATGTTCAACTTTTCAAACTCAGAAATCTACAATTAAAAAAATTATATATCATGGCTAAATGTAAAAATTTTAGGGTTTTTTAAAGCAAATTTATTTTTATTTTTTAAATATATTTTATTATTTCCTTGATTTAACCCAGTTGAGATCTGGATCTCATTTTCAAGAGGGATCTGGGTAAATATTCCATGTTTGTTTTCTACCAAATTTTCAACATTAATCTCAAAATATTTCTGTTTTCTAGCAAAACTTCAGCTTTTCAACCTGATAAATTCCCAGGTTTTTTTCATCACAACGTCTCGTCTAAACGATTCATTTTTAGTTGCAGCGGACGATAACTGGACGCTTGACTTCAGCTACAGACAGCAGATATGATGGATTCTTTCAGTGGCACCAAATGTGGTGCTGTGACGTTTCCTTTCAGCGCTTGTGTGTGTGTGTGTGTGTGTGTGTGTGTGTGTGTGTGTGTGTGTGTGTGTTCCCTGTTCTGCTCTTTGACTGGATATATCACTCTAACCATCTTCCTGCCTGGGGCGGCTCTTTCACTGGACATAAATAAGACATATATTACACTATTTGACAATACTATTCCTCTTACATGAAAACAAAAACCAGAACAAAAAGTCTCATTTACATTCATGTCAACCTGAATTCACAGATTAGAAAAAGAAGACTGCGCTTCAATGGGCCATATTATGAATAAATAGCGACAGTGGTGGAGATTTCCTGTAGCAAAACGACATTAGCTGCGTTTCCAGTCAACATGTGACGGCGACATTTGACATTTTGAAATTAAATTCTCTTCATAAAAAGTTTAATTTATTTTATTTTTAATAAAAACTGCAATGGAAACATGAGTCACATGACCAGCAGCTGGATGTCGACTCTCAAACCACAAAGAAGAAGAAAACAGGAAGTAGTTTTTTTTAACGACTCATCACTTTTCTTATTTAATTGCAAAACTGGTAACAAAATTTTGCCCACATTTGTGTTGGAAACGCAGCTACTGTCATCATTAGTGTTATTGTTGTTATACTGCAGAGACGGATCTGCAGCGCTGCACCGGTTGCACCTGTGTGTGTGTGTGCGCGCGCGAGTGTGTGTGTGTGCGCGAATGAAGAAACACCCTCACGCTCCTCACCGAGATTTGAGGGAGGCGAAGTTTTCGGGAGTTGAGGACGTTTCTTAGCTGACACACATTTAGCTAAAGTTTGCAATCTTTCTCTTTTTTTTTTTAAACCGTTAAAAAGGGGAGGGGCTGAAGCGAAAGGGGGAAATAAAAACCGTCCTGGATTAAATAAACCAAACTGAAATCTGTTTGAGGATACAGCGTGTGGGCTGGAGGCGCCGGCGGCTGGGACGGGATTCTGGAGCGTTGCACCCTGTAAACACCAACCCTCCGCCTCACCCCGACCCTCGTGACCCCTGACCCCCGCCGCACTCTGTAGCCTCCCATTCTAAATGGCATTCAGCTCTGTCCACACAATACACAGACAGCTTAATTTACTGAACAAAAAATAAAACAATAAAAAAATCCCGAAAGGTCAAGACGTTAAGTAATAAAACCTTATTTACATTTTACACATTTTTTTCTTGGTTTTTCAGCGTAATATCTCGCTCCCCCTCCCCTCCTCGCCTTCTCAGCACATTTTTGCTTTGAGTCAAAAAACTTCCTTTTTTTTAATATAGAATACTGAAAACACAGAAGAAAACGGCGCAAACGATTCCTTCCGATATTCTTTCTCTCCTCTCCTTTTTTCCATTCTCCCTTTTTCTTTGCTCTCCTCCCCCAAAGCCCCCATTCCTTTTTCACTTTTCCTCCTCATTTCGGGCGGCTGTCAGGTTTAGCCCACCTTCTGTGGGTTGGTGGCGCGGACGCCTTGCTCGTAGGTGATCCGCTGGCTGATCAGGTACTGCGCGGCCTGCGTGGCGGCCTGCGACCCCGTGATGGTCACCTTCCTGTTCCGAGTTCCCGGGATGAACTCGCCTTTCTTCGAGATCTGGATCCTGGCGCCGGTCAGCTCCTGGTACTCCACTAGCGTCTTCCCGCCTTTCCCCAAGATGGCGCCGACGAGGTTCTCCGGCACGGCGATCTCGACCACTTCCTTCGCTCCCTCTGCTAGCTTCTCCGTCGCTAGGAGAGACGACGCCACCAGAGGTGACGCCGCGCTCAGGTAGCCGTTGGTGGCGCCGGTGGCGGCCGCCAGTGACCCCAGAGAGAGGCCTCCCAGGCTCGCGGCGGGGTGCGCCGCGCTGGTAGACGCGTCGCTGGCGTACGACGCCAACAAATTAGCCGCGGCGGCCGCTGCTGGGTTGGCGTTAGCCGCAACAGCGGCTAACACCCCGGAAGCGGCGGCGGGATTGAGCCCCAGCCCCAGAGAGTTGGTGTTGTAGCCGTAGCTGGCTAGGGTGTTGAGCGCGGAGGTGATGGCGAGCAAGTCGTTGCCTGAGAAGCTGGACATGGTGGTCGGGAACGCGCCGACTCCCGCCAGGCCCGCCTGGCCCAGCAGAGAGGAGGCGGTGGCGGCTGCAGCGGCCGCCGCCGCCGGCATCACCTCGGTGGAGTTGGCGTATGGGGAGCCGGTGGGGTTGGAGTTGGCCACCGGGCCGGTGATGTTGGAGTAGGAGATGTTGAGGCAGGAGGAGCTCTGAGGGTCTTCCTGGATCTTCTGGATGATAATCTCCACGGCTTTGCGGTTCTGCTCCGGCTCGCCACTGATTGTGACCACACGCTCCTGCAGGTTGATGCCCTCGGGCTTCTGGGATAGCTGGACCCAAGCCCCAGACTGCTCCATCACCGCCTTGACCGTAGCGCCGCCTTTGCCGATGATGAGGCCGGCTGTGCTGTTGGGGACGATCAGCTTGGCCTGTTGGGACGACAAGAAGACAGAAGAAGACAGATTAACAGGAAAATATTTTAACCGCAAGTCCAAGAGATGGCGCAGCTCAACGCGCAAGATCCTGCAGACAACTCGCTAACGGTGGCTAGCATTGGTTTTAGCTGTCAACATAATGCGCTAATTATTAAATGTACTCCTGATATATAGAAGAAAATGTGCTTTTCTACTGATTGTCAACACAAACACAACTACATCACAAGTCAGGAAAAAGCTTTAATGAAGAAAAATACTGGCCAGGAAGAAGGAAGTAGGTCAGCTATGCTAGCTTGACTATGAGAAATGACAAAAAATGAACGATGTCTGAGAGAGAGGTGATGAAAAGAAAAGGGCATTTAAAGCCTGACGTGGCAAACTGTCCGCAGGATTTATTGTTTTTTATTGCTTTCATGGTTTTGCTGAATAACGGAGGAGAGGCAGGAGGAGGTAAGCAGAGTGGGAGGGATGGATGGATGACAGAGAGAGAGTAGAAAGAGGAATGCTAAAGAGGATACGTCTGTGGAGAGAGAAAAATTAAAATAAAATAAGTAACACCGGCTCCCAGGGGTCAGCATTGCCATGGAAACACAGCTCCGGTAGAGAAAAAGGGAGCGGGTCGACGGAGCGGGTCGACGGAGCGGGTCGACGGAGCGGGTCGACGGAACGGGTCGACGGAACGGGTCGACGGAACGGGTCGACGGAGCGGGTCGACGGAACGGGTCGACGCAGCGGGTCGACGGAACGGGTCGACGGAGCGCGCAGAAAACCTGCGACTCTGAGCTGGAGATCCAGAATTTACACAAAGAAACTTTTAAATCCTCATCCAGATGCAACACTGAGATCAGCTGAGGTGGGAAAGAGACGATGGCAGAAAAGGACGCAACAGTTTCAGTGTTTTTTAGATAACTTACAACTGGACATTCCTTCAAAATAAAAGGCTTAGAAGTTGGCAGAAGCACTGAAGGAGGGTCAAAAATATGAAATTGTTTTTTAAATTTCTATTGAAAGCAAATATAATTGAAATCTGGCAACAAGTCCAAAAAGTAAAAAAAAAAAAAACAAACAGAAAAGCATCATATCCACAGTGAAACATGGTGGTGGCAGCATCATGCTGTGAGACTAAATGAACGCTTCGTGTGTCTCCATGGGTTTATTAGAGCCAATGCAGAAAATTAAGGAAATTTCCACCAATCAAATGGTGGAAATATTTAGATTAATTCTAGAAATTTTCTAGAAAAATCTCCGGAAATTTCAGTCTCAAAAGAAGGAAAGTCGGTTTTGTTATTTCACTTGTAACGACATTTTTTCCCCCTTGGCGAAATAATCGGCCAGGGGAGCTAGAACTCGGTTGCTAGGTAACGGGCTGGGCTTGTCTGGGGTTGCTAGGCAACGGCAAAAATAATGAAACAGTGAAACTTTTATCAATATTAAGAAATTATTGCCTCAAAACATGTTTAGACAAAAAGCTGCCTATAAGTCCTTGTTTTCAGAGCATTAACATATTATTAGGATATTAGCATATTATTATTAGCATATTAACATTAGCATATTATTATTAGCATATTAACATTAGCATATTATTATTAGCATATTAACATTAGCATATTATTATTAGCATATTAACATTAGCATATTATTATTAGCATATTAACATTAGCATATTATTATTAGCATATTGAGAAGCACACAGAGAAACTCGGTGAGGTTTTGTGTCTTTGTTGAGACGGAAGCAGAAACTGTGACGTTGGTCTCTGCTGACGCCTGCAGAGAATGACGCATGTCTGCTGCGGCTCTGACCTCCTGCAACAAAAGAAGCTCCTTCTGCTCCCAGACACAAACACAGAGCAACACATCACATTTCAACAGCATCTTCAAACACGCGCTTGTTGAGAATTCCTGAGAGTTTTGGGTAACAATTAATGCGTGAAAATAAAGCGTGAAGAGAAACTATAAAACAGAAACCAGTTAGCCTGCTGAGATTAGCGCTTGGTTTGTGTTTTGCGCCTCACTCGCTGGATGTGCAGCTGCATTTCTCTCTGTTTTTTTGACTCGCATGTCTCATTATCTGCACTGCAGCTTTCTTTCTCCCAGGCAGCGGCTGAATTTACATAGAAATAGAAAATTAGCGAAGGCGGCGCAGATTCAGACTCGTCGCATTTGTGCTGCGGCGGCGGCTGGAACACGGCCTCCTCCTCCAGGGGCCGTTTGTTTGGGCCGCTCCTCTGCTGGGATTAGCAGTTTAGTTTGTTGGTTTTCCTCTCAGTGCCGGTTTCGTTTCTGATCGACTCTCGAACACGGCGAGGATCGCGCGGCGCGTCTGCTCACGTCCCGCCGCCGCGGCGACAATCTGCTGCGCGCATGAATGAGGCCAACAGGGTGTGAACTCCACCTACTGCTGATCACCAAACCTTAAACTGAGCCGATTAGCATTTAGCCCCGTCACCACTGTCGTCACACTGCAAAAACACAAAATCCAACCAAGTGTTTTTGGTCTCTATTCTGTGCAAATATTTCAGTGCATCTGAAGTGAGATCAACTAATTTACAGGCAACTTTTCAGCAAAATTCAGCAGCTTGTTTTAAGTCAATAATTCCTTGATATTGATGAAAAAGCCCAGCCCGTTGCCGAGCCTCACAGAGCCGTCTTGCCCCACTCAGCTCCTTCAGACTAGACAGCAGCAATTAGTCTCAGTGAAACGCGTTAATAGTGGAGCCATGTTGGGACGAGTCCCAGAAGGCGGAGCTTTAAAAAAAGCAGGAGCTTCTTAAAGAGACAGAGACCCAATCTCAAGATGGCAATCAGGAAGTAAAATTTATTTTCAGTCATACTTTATGTGTACAGCATTTTTATAAGAACTGAATTTGATTGTGCTATAAACTGCCACTATTTGAGAAATACAAAATCCTTCAGGAAACAAACTGCTGGAGGCTTTTGCAGCTCAAACTGTACGACTTTACTTACAACATTCATTCGTTTCGCTTTGAGTGATTCTGGCAGTGAAACAGGAATGCGGGTCTGGCCCGATTGAAGCCGGGGGATGTTTCAGATGTTTTACAGACGTCGCGTTCCTGAAGCGACGCGTCTCCGTCCCGCTCGCCGCTAATGATCCCGTCTTCAGCCTCCGCATCCGCGCTAATGAAGCTCTGCTTCCCTGTTTTCATCCCTCCATGTTCCTGCTTTCATTCCTCCTGTCAACGTTTTCACATTTTTTTAGAATCCGTTTGCATTCCAGCGTTCAGACGTCTCCAAGTGTCTTCCTCTCGTTAACTTTTACGGCTGTAATTTTCCGGTGAATTTACAATCGTTAATTATTTCCTCAGACCTCACACAGCACGTTCCCAGCATGAAGGGCATTTCCTCTGGAAATTATCCTCTTAATTCTGCTTTTATTTCGGCGACACTGTTGCTTCAGTTCGCTCTGATGACTGGCAGCAAAGATTAGAGGACAGAACACTGCAAAAAACTCTTACCAGGGATTTGATCCAGCTTGTAATTACACCTCAAATACAAGAAAACTGACTTTTCAGCAAATTATAGGAGTTTGTTTTAAGTAAATAATTCATTGACATTCATGAATATATACTTGTTCCACTGTTTAGATTGTTTCACTTAAAAAACATTTTTCTCATGTTAATGGTAAAATAATCTGCTAGAGGAACTTAAACAGTTTATTTAGGTGTGATTTGGTGTTTTTACAGTGCAGCCAAACGTTTTTCTCTCCTGCCTTTTGAGGCTCAGGTTTGATTTTTCGCTGCCTGTTTACATTTGTTGGCGGAAAGTTTCTGCAGAGGTTAGCTGGCGGGTTTCTGGCTCCCGTCCAGCTGCTGACGAGAGCGTCCTGCTGCTGCAGCTGCTGGACTGAGGTCGAAGGTCAAACTCAATCTCCTGAGCATGAATCCACTCGCTGCGAAAGCGGGAAGGGAAGTGTCGACTTCAGCAGGGATGTGAGCTTAGCGGATAAATCCGAATCGATGTGGACGGCGGCGCGGGGATGATGGGAGTCCGCGGCTTGGAGCGGGCTCAGATTTGGAGCCACTGGACGTTTATGAAGGTCAAATGGATTAAATATGGGTCCAGATTATTTCTATCACACAGATTAACTGGATTTTAATAAATACTGGAGATTAGGAACCATCTAATTAGCAACCAGTGACTTTCTGTTTCTCTGGGGTTTAAATGTGATGTTTTTATTAAACCCGGAGGAGCAGAACCAGCGCAGGACATGGCAACCCAAACCAGCACCGACTGGAAACTTCAATCTGGACCGTAAGCAAAATTAGCTCTGGATTGCTCTTCACTTCCTCCAGATTATGGGATCTTAATTTACAAATAGAATCCTAAAATTTACTGAAAATACTTCAAAATTCTGAGAAAAAAATCTGAAATTTGAGGGAGAGAGTTAGTTAAATATCAGAAATTCCAGATTAAAGTCAAAATTCTAAGAAAAAGTCAGAATTCTGAGATTAAATGAAAAATTCTGAGAAAAATCAAATAAATTTTCCTGAGAAAACTAGTAAGAAATACATTTGCTGCAATATTTTTGTTTTCCAGCTGTACTGGTCTGATTAAAAGAAAGGTTGCAGGGAACTAATAATGAAGCAAAATAACCAATAAATTTGTATTTTTCTTAAATTTTCATTGTGAGATGATGTTGCCATGACAACATCACAAAACAATAACTACGCATCGATGGTAATAAACGTGTCGTTTGAGTGACCAGCAGGTTTTTCTGCTCGCCCCGCCGTGGCGACTGAAATAGATGTGTTCGCTGTGAACCTGATATCGGTAACCTGCTCCGGAATAGATTGTGGATTAGTAATTTTTAGACCTGTCATGCTGATAATGATGATCCGTATTCTCATCACAGCTTTGTGTCGCGTTCCGTCCAGGTCACACGGCTCCGGATGTCGCTAACGCTAACACACACACAAACGGGCTGCGGCTTTATTTCCACCTTTGCACAAACCAAACAGTGTCTGCATGTTGCGTGA